AGAACAAAGCACAAAAACCACATGATCATATCAATAGATACAGACAAGTATTTGAGAAAGCCTAAGGAAAAAAGTGGTTGGGTGGGGGGGGGGAGAGTGAAGAAAGGACGGAAGTGAAGGAGGGAGGAGGGGAGAATGGAGGAAAGGGGAAAAGGGAGGGAAGGAAACAGGAAAGGAGGGAATGGGAAGGTGGGGAAGGGAGAGGAGGGGAGAGACAGAAAGGGAGAGAGAGCATAAGAATCCAGATTGGAAAGGAAGAAGTAAGCAACTACCTCTATTTACAGATGACATGATCCTATACATAGAAAATCCTAAGGAATCCACTAAAAAACTATTAGAACTAAAAAAGGAGTTCAGCATGACTACAGGATCCAAGATCAACATACAAAATAAACTATTTCTATACTCTATCATTGAACAAATTAAAAAATAAAATTAAGACAATGATTCCATTTAGAATTAAAAAAATAAAATACTTAGGAATAAATTTAACAGATGCAGTGTAAGATATGTACACTGAAAGTTACAAAACATCACTGAAAGAAGATAAGAACTAACTAAATTTAAAAAATCCCATGTTCATGAATTGGAAGACTTAATATTATTAATATGGCAATACTGGGGCACCTGGGTGGCCCAGTTGTTAAGCGTCTGCCTTCGGCTCAGGTCATGATCCCAGAGTCCTGGGATTGAGCCCTGCGTCAGGCTCCCTTCTCAGCGGGTAGCCTGCTTCTCCCTCTCTGCTCCCCCTCCTTGTGTTCCCTCTCTCGCTGTCTCTCTCTCTGTCAAATAAATAAATAAATAAATAAATAAATAAATAAATAAATAATCTACCCAAAAAAAAGGCAATATTACCCCCAAATTGGTTTATAGATTCAATACAATCCCTATCAATATTCCAGCTGTCTTTTTTGCAGAAATTGACAAGCTAACTCTAAAATTCTTATGAAAATACAAGGCACTAAAAATAGCTAAGATAATCTTGGGAAATAAAAACAAAGTTGGAAGATTTTCACTTCACATTTTCAAAACTTAATACAAAGCTACAGTAATCAAGAACAGTGTAGTACTAGCACAAGGATAGAGAGACACACCAATCAAAGGAATAGAATTGAGAGTCCAGAAATAAACCATTATATTTATGCAATTGATTTATAACAAGGGTGGCCAAGATAACAATTCAATGGCGAAAGAACAGTCTTTTCAACAAATGATGCCGGGACAACTAGATATCGACATACGAAAGAATGAAGTTGGACCTCTACCTCACACCACATACAAAAATTAACTCAAAATAGATTAAAGGCCTCAATGTAAGAACTAAAACTATAAAACTCTTAGAAAAAAAAAAAACATAGCAACAAATCTCTACTGCCTAAGATTAGGTGATGGTTTTTTTAGATATGATACCAAAAGCACACATACAAAAGAAAAAATAGATACATTTAGGACTTTTGTGCTTCAAAACATACCATCAAGAAATAAAGAAAAAGAAAATCCACAGAATGGGAGGAAATCTTTGCAAATCATATAGCTGATAAAGAACTGGTATCCAGAATATACAAAGAACCCTTAAAACTCAACAATAAGAAGACTAGTGACCCAATTTTAAAATGGGCAAAGGATCTAGACATTTCTTCAAAGAAGATATACAAATGGCCAATAATCAGTGAAAAGATGTTCAACATTATTAGTCATTAGGGAATATAAATCAAAATCACAATGAGATACCACTTCACACCAACTAGAATGGCTACAATCAACTAGTCAGATAATGACAACTGTCAGTAAAGATGTGGAAAAACCAGAACCCTCATACATTGCTGGTGGGGTTGTAAAATGGTATAGCTAATTTGGAAAACAGTTTGGCAGTGCCTCAAATCTTCAACATAGGGTTACCATATGACCCAGCAGCTGTACTCCTAAATATATACTCAAAGAGAATTGAGAACATATATCCACAAAAATATTTTTATATGAACTTCCATAGCAGCATTATTCATAATAGGCAAAAAAGTAGAAACAACCCAAAAGTCCATCAATTGATGAGGAGATGGACAAAATGTGGTATAACCATCTCAAAGAGTATTATTCAGTCATAATAAGGAATGAAGTACCGATACATAGTTCAACATAGATCAACCCCGAAAATGTTACACTAAGGGAAAGAAGCCAGACACAAAGGCCACATATTGTATGATTCCATTTATATGAAACATCTACAACAAGCAAATCTACACAAAGAAATAAGTGGTTGCTAGGGGATGAAGGAAGCAGGAAATGGGGAGTGACTACTAATGAATACGAGTTTCTTTTTGGGGGGATGAAAATGTTCTGGAATTAGATAGCAGTGGTAGTTGCATTGTTTTGTGAATATACTAAAAACCACTGAATCATACACTTTGATTCATGCTGAATTGTATGGTATGCGAATTATATCTCAAGTCCCAAGGCTTAAGGTGACACATGAATGGGTTATAATTAAGACTTCAAGCCAAATTTGTTTGATTATAAATCCTGTTGTCTTAATTGCCAACTATATTCCTGGACCTCCTTCCTTTCTCACATTACAGGCTTTCTGGAAACGGTTACTCACTCCTCTAGAGTTCACCATTGTCAGACACCAAATCTCTCTTTCACCTTTTCTTCTCGAGTCAGTTTGTCTCTAACTGTGGACAGCTCTGCCTGTGTGGCCTAGAGATGCCTCAAAAACAACCCATGTTGAACCAAATTTAACTTCACCTTCCACGACGTCATCTCCCTTTGATGAATCCTCTTACCAGTGGTGTTCTTCATGGGCTGGTGTCCCTTCCAGTCCTCAGGCCATTTAGAAAGCAAAGAGGATTAACCTACCCCAAGCCCAGTAAATGATCAGGTTTTTCATGCTTAAGTTACCAGCTCTGACTATTCTCTTTGATGATTCTTCACTTGAATGACATACTACCAAGAGATTTTTCATTTGCATTTCACTATTTTTTTTTTAAAGATTTTATTTACTTATTTGAGAGAGAGAGAATGAGAGAGAGCACATGAGAGAGGGGAGGGTCAGAGGGAGAAGCAGGCTCCCCACCGAGCAGGGAGCCCGATGCGGGACTCGATCCCGGGACTCCAGGATCATGACCTGAGCCGAAGGCAGTCGCTTAACCGACTGAGCCACCCAGGCGCCCCTGCATTTCACTATTAATAAAGCCTTAAATGTATACTTCAAATATGAACATAATAGCAACTAAGGGGAAAAAATTAAGGCCCTCTCTCCCAAAAACTCTAGAGAGCTCGTAGTACAGACACTACCCCAACTCAAGTCTCACAGTGAACTGAAACCACACAGTGTACTTCTCCATGTTTCTAACAGGATAAAACTTCGAGTTGTTCACTTAAAGTCATCCCGAAAACTATGGCCACTTGGACGGATAGTTGTAAGATTCAGGAAAATCTTCAACTAGTAAAGTCTAGTTATTCCCTAAATTACCCTCTAACTACTGTATCCAGGATGATTTCTAAAATGTTCCTTCTTTTGAGACCCAGCAAAATGTGTTTAGTGTACAAATTAAACATATATAACTTTATGCCAAAATATTAAATTTTATTATTTTTTTTAAGATTTATTTATTTGGAGAGAGAAAGAGAGCACAAGCAGACGGGGCAGAGGGAGAGGGAGAAAGAATCTTAAGCAGACCCTGCCTTGAGCACGGAGCCTGACACAGGGCTCTATCTTACAAACCTGAGATCACGACCTGAGCCAAAGCCAAGAGTCGGATGCTTAGCCGACCACGCCCCCCCAGGTGCCCCAAAATATTAAATTTTAAAAAGTCATTAGACAACATGCCCAGCACAAAATTTTTGTTTATAACCATTTGGTAACTTGGAATAATTGCAAAGAAAAAGTGAAATCAACAACAAACAACCCAAAACACAAATATTCCATTTTGCTGATATTCTAAAAAAAAGTAAATATGTGTTTTATTTCCATGCATGCACTATTTCAACTATTTATATAAAGTGTCAGGATTACTGCATTTATAGAATAAATTGGAAAAAGCAACTCATCTCCAACACTCTTGTGTGGTACGTATTCTTAACAGTTATGTGGCTAGACATGAAAATTTATGTTCATTCAGTACAAGAATAAGATAACAGGTAGAAGGGAGCAGACTCAGGCCTTACCCTTTACACTGCTTTCCTTCTCCCAACCACATCTCAGCATCTCTAAGTGTTGGCAAAAGTGGATCCCCGTTCTGATTAACAATGACACATTATAAAATAAATAGTAGTAGATGCACATCTGGACTGCATGGAATTATATTAAGGGCACAATTTTGGCCTCTTTTTGTATTTTAAGTTTATATCCATATTAATGTGCAGAGGTCTCAGTGATCCTGTTATGGGTAGACAGCAAAAGGCTGTGGCCACAGTGACAACAGCCCCTCCTTCCCGGAGGAACACCTGTAGGCAATAGGCTAAGGGAATCCACCTGCCCTCACTCTCCTTCCATAAGCCAGGAAGAGGCCTGGGGCACAAGCAGCATCACCTGGAAATGTGACTGCACCACCAATTCAATCTGGCCCCAGGCCAGGCATTGTGCTGGATACAGTGGTAGGGTAAAAGATGACTAGAACAGAGTCTCTGCTCTCCCCATAATTGCAACTGGTGGCTCATACCAGCACGTAGAACACAAGGCAGTGTGGAATAGAGGCAAATGCAAAAGCTGTGGAGCATAGGGTTGAAAGAAATGTATTCCCACTGGGGATCTGGGAAAGTCTGGGGGGAGAACAGAGCCGGTCAGGCTCTTAGATGGGGTGGGGTGGGACGACTTCTGCAGATTAAAATGAGAAAAGAAAAGGGCATTAAAAGCAGAGATCATGGCTCAGAAGTGACCTTGTTTGTCCTTAATTATAGAATGAAGACAATAATAGTACACCTACCTTGGAGGGTGGTTTGAGGATTAAATACAAAAAAAGTAGCTGGCCTTAGCAGGCACTTGAAAAAGCTGTAGCTCTTACCATGGGCAGGGAGGGTAGTAAAACCAGGAGTGCTCACTGGAAGGTTTTATACTCCAGCAAAAAATAACTGTGTCCTCTTGTCATTGCTTCTATGACTGATCTTGTTTCAAGCCCCCAAGTAGGACAAATACCTAAAGTCAAGAGAAACAAAGGAACATTAGTATTTTTCTTCCACGAGAAGGTGACTTTCGCAGAACACAGTTGTGTTGCGGTCTTGGCAATTAACCTGAGGTGTGGGAAGTGGGATGGCAGGTCCTTGGTCTCAACGAGAAATGACAAATACAACTTCCACACCAGGACGGAGTTTCCTGGGGTCAGCCCCGGTAAAGCCTCCCACCCAACCCAGTGATTGGGGGGCCAATAGAGCAGTGCTTGCTGCTATACATTCTTAGATAAAGCAATTCATTTCTCCTAACTTAATGTCTTCATCTGTAAAACGTGGACAGTGATACCTGTCACTGGGGCTTATTCAGAGGCTGAGATGACACCAGATACATGGCGTGCTAGGCCAGTGCCTGGCACACTGTGGGTGTTTCATAAACGTTAACCCTTTTTATAGTTAGCGCAGTAGAGACTGGCTTGCCTGGCACAAGCTGTCCGGCTTCTAACTTACTAAAGATTTGACTTCTTCAAAGAGACACCAGGAAAGGAAAACAAGGAGAGGGGAGGGCAAGGAGCCCCATCAAGGACTTTAAATGCGGTTTTCCCTCCCACTGAGAGGGCCCCTGAACTCAATAAACGAGAATGACCCTAGCTGAACTTCCAAGCTGGGAAGTATAGTTGGTTTTTAAAAGCAGTTCTTTTTCAGGATCAATTGTTCAACAGAACTTTAAAGCTTGCCCTCAGAAGAGGCTCAGTCCTGAAACCTAAAGGGAAAATCATGAAAAGCAGGAATGTGCCATCTCTCTACAGCGAGTGGGGCGCCCCACACATGCTGTTCGAACACAGTCATTCTGCTGCCTCCCCTATTCCAATTTAACCAGAAACCTGAGAACCTGGACTGAGCTCCAGCTAACATTATTTAAATGAACCGGCTGTTACATGAACCTTAAACCACATGTCATTTGGTTGTGGGGCTGCCCTGGGCCAACAGACATTAATACAGAGGGTTCCCAGCTCACAGATGGATTGTGTTCCAAATATGCATTTGGAAGGCTGTGGTTTGAAAGGCAAAATGCACTTTCCCAAAGAAGCAACGCTGTAAATGGTGATTAGGGCCATACGCCAGCTCACAAAACTCTATGTAATCATAATATAGCTACTCTCTGTACATTTTAGCCCGAAAAAGAGTAGAGGTCAATAATATTACAATACTAATAACTGAAGAATGAGATCAACAGGGGTGCTGGGTGGTTCAGTCGGTTAGGCGTCCAGCTCATGATTTCAGCTCAGGTCATGATCTCATGGGTGGTGAGATCAAGCCCCACCTCGGGCTCCCCACTCAATGGGGAGTTTGTTTGGGATTCTCCCTCTCTCTCCCTCTTCCCCTCCCCTGACTCATGTGTGCATGTGCTTGCTCTCTCTCTCTTTCTTATAAATAAATAAGTCTTAAAAAAAAAGAATGAAATAAACAATAAAGTTGAGTATCTTTCATTTGTCTTGAGTGGTAGTCTTTAAGCACAGGTAGATTTAATGAATGGAGGATGAAAAGGTCTATTCAGTGAGGCTGAGAGGCCAGGGAACAATGGGACGGTAGTCAGGACCCCTGGCAGTTGGGAATCAGACTAGCTTGCACGATTTCTACGAATTCTAAGAGGCTAGCATCTGCACCTGAAGACCAATCTAGCACGCGGGGGGGGGCGGGGCGGGGTAGCAGGACTGAAAAAGTTAGCCGGAGTATTTCTTTCTTTTTATTTTTTAATTGTATTTTATGTTATTATTTTTTTAATTTTATTATGTTATGTTAGTCACCATACATCATTGGTTTTTGATGTGGTGATCCACGATCCAGTTTTCGTATAACACCCAGGGCTCCATGCAGTACATGCCCTCCTTAATACCCATCACCGGGCTAACCAATCCCCCTCACTCCTCCCCTCTAAAACCCTGTTTGTTTCTCAGAGTCCATAGTCTCTCATGGTTCATTTCTCCCTCCAATTCCCCCCCGCAATTTTTCCCTTCCTTCTCCTAATGTCCTCCATGCTATTCCTTATGTTCCACAAATAAGTGAAACCATATGATAATTGACTTTCTCTGCTTGACTTATTTCACTTAGCATAATCTTCTCCAGTCCCCTCCATGTTGATGTAAAAGTTGAGTATTCATCCTTTCTGATGGCTGAGTAATATTCCATTGTATATATGGACCATATCTTCTTTATCCATTCATCTGTTGAAGGGCATCTCGGCTCTTTCCACAGTTTGTTAGCTGGAGTATTTCTATGCAGCCATTTCATCAGCCACGGTAGGACCTAGCTTCCGTGTCCCTCTCCTTTTAGACATGATTACTCCCATTTACAACCCAGTCTGCCCCTGACCCCAAGGATCACAGAAGTGCAGAACATTTGGTGCCTCTTTCACACTGATTTCTGAGATCAGACAAGCTCTCTCGGATACTAACATCGCCTGGATGGCTTTAATTTGACACCCCCACCCCCGTTTAGAAGGCCTCTACTACTGCCATCCCCTTCAAGGAGGGGAGGCCCCACAGTTGTTTGGACTCTCTTCCTCTACCACCCTGCTCCATGTGATCAATACCGCACCTGGTTAGAGACGTTCAAAATCACCCATTCTAGCGGTGAGGCTAAGGATCAAATATAAATATTTCATCTGTAAATATGAAAAAGACATGAGAAAAGAGAAAAGGAGTAACTTGAAAAAGAAAGTTATTTGAAAAAGACCATCTGTAAGGCAATAGAGAGGACTTCTGTAAGATCTACCATTAGGTGGCACCCTCAGCCCAGGGCAGTTGGGTTGTCCTGCAAAGGACCGCAGAAAAGGGAAACATTAATGAGTGCTGGTCCGGAAGTGGGTAGGAAGGCTGAAAGCAGCCACTTTGCAATAAGTAATTTAACATACACAAGGCATTCCTGTGAAGTGCATTCTAGATTAACTCACATATACATAAACGCAGTAACTAATTCCCTTAAAATTACAAAATGTCTCATAATTTTATTTCTTAAAATTGGTTTATATCCCTTGCCTACATTCTATTGATTTACACTTTTTAAAAATTAATTTTTTAACAGTTATGTTCTTTCCCAGCACTAATTCTTTGACAGCTAGATATATGCAAATACATTCTCTTGGTGCATGGCTTGCTTCTTTTTTTTTAAGATATTTATTTATTTATTTATTTATCAGAGAGAGAGAGAACGAGCACAAGCAGGGGGAGCAGCAGAGGCAGAGGGAGAATCGGGTTCCCTGCTGAGCAAGGAGCACGGATGCGGGACTCCATCCCAGGACCCTGGGATCATGACCTGAGCCGAAGGCAGACACTTAACCGACTGAGCCACCCAGGTGTCCTGGCTTGCTTCTTTTTAATGACAACTTTTTATTGTACAGAAGTTTAAAATTTTAACATAGACTAATTTACCAATCTTTTCCATTATGATTTGTTCCTTTTGAGTTTTGTTTAATATATTTTTCGCCATCTTGAGATGATAATGATATTCGTTTAAATTGTCTTCTTCAAGTTTTGCTTTTTAAACCACCTGTTTTGTTTTGGCATGGCAAGCTAATTACTAAATAGTCCATGTATCCCTGATGATTTGTCACTCCTGTCCTAAAACTAGCTTCCTGTAAATCCATGTGTCTATTTGGGGGGCTTTCTATTCTGTTCCATGGGTCTATTTCTCTATTCCTGCACCAAATAGCATACTTAATTTTCTAACTATTCTTGAATCCACCTTGTTTTTCAAACACCTTTATGACATTAGCTCATTTCTTTCATTACATCATTACAATCATCTCAGGCTCTAGATCAAGACACGACAGGAGGATGCATGAGCTATGGCTAATATGCTAAAGAGATTAGCGCTAAACGACAGGAAGGCTGTTGATCTATTCCAGGATTTATGACACTCAGTTGCCAAGCATTTGATTTGGGAAACAAATTTGCAAAGTAATTAACTTTGGTTGGGTAAACCACTCCAGAAAGCAATGGTTACCTTTCTGGGAAACAAGGTATTAGTTCTATATCTGGAAATGAGTCACGAAAGGAACCAGGTATGATACAGTAGAGCAGAGCAAGTCCATCACTAACAGTGGGGAAGAAATAGACTTTTTGAATTTTATTCCCTGCTGACTGTTGAGCTGAAATCAGAAGGAAGATGACTCCCTTTGTGCTCACAGGTGTCTCCAGTGAAATATGTAGACATTTCTGGTGTCAATTAACCAGGGAAGAGAATCTCATATCAGGGAGTCAGAACTTATATAATAATAATAGGCCAGAATTTTATAGGATAGGGAAATTCTATTTCCACCCAGACATTTGTGTGTGTGGGGGGGGTGGGTGGGTGCGTACCTGACTTAGAGGAATCCAGATGAATTTGAGGACATCCTAGCCTGGAGAAAAAACGGTAACTCATGTGAAATCCCACGGATTGGGACATGAAGACAGGCCAAGAGCTAGGTAGGAAGGCAACATGTCCAAATGAATTCATTATCTTTGTTCCCAGAAATCTGCTGCTCTTTCAGTATTCCCACTCTCAGCACTCTGCCCAAATACCAAGCTGCTCAAGCCACATGACTGAGAGCCATCCTTGAGGATCAGTAAGTCTTACAGATTCTATCACCTAGATCTCTTGGCTCCATCCACGTCTCTCCATCTCTCCTCCACCCCATCCCTGCACATACTCACATACACCACCAAGGCCGTTGCTGTCTTTAACTGGAACTACAGCAATAGCTTTCTGACTGGTCCCCCTGACTTGAACCATAGTTGAGTCTCCTGCCCACCCTTGAAGCCAAAAGGCACAGTCCCACTGCACCACCTACCAGCTTTGAAACTTGGACAAACTTCTGCATCTCTCTGTGACTCAATGTCTCCTGTAAAATGAAGATAATAACACCACCTACCTGGTAGCCTTGTTGTGAAAACTGAATGAGTTAACACAGAGTAAAGTACTTGGAAGAGGAAGGCACTTACCACAGTTAATTGTCCTGAAAGTTTGTCTCGACACCCTGCTGGACCATAAGTTCTACAATGGCGGGGATGTGTCCATGTCTTGGTCAGTCTCCACTGGTAGCTCCTTGTAGGTTTTGAAAACTATGAGCCACCACAAACTGGAAGGGAGTGAGCCATATTTTGTAAGTCAGACTATCTACTTACGTGTTCCATTTTTGTCTATTTCCCTACTAGTGCATTTCTAGAGGCTTCCCCAAATGCTCCAGCCTGTTCCCTGCCATAAATCCATACTGGGTCTACAGCTGAGGGGAAGGAGAATGCCCCCTGAAGGTGGAGGGACAAAGGCAAGTTGTGGGTGATTTCCCAGGGGAAGTGCAGGCACAGAGCAGCACAGAGGCCTAGAGGGTCTGCCTTCTCTCCCCACAGGGTTTCTCCCCTTTGTCATCTTTGGAGGGGCCAAGTGTGACTTCATCAGGGACCTGTCCAGATTATTAAAACTGCAGACCAACAGGGAAGGAGGGGCGCTGGGCCCAGGAACAGGAACGCAACTGGAGATGAAACCAAAGTTCAGTGTCCAGTTTTGGACAGCCACCTGAACTCCCGTCTTCGGATAAAGGCTTCTGAAGGAAAGAGCCAAGAGAAAACGACCCCTCGCTCCCTCTCTCCTCTCCATTTCTCACTCTCGGTACTCCCCACATGTCTTCCCACCTTACTTCTGAGCGGCTCTCCGGCCCTGCCGCCTGGGACAAAACCGCCGGCAGGAGCCAGGCGCAGGAAGCGGTAAGAGCCACGGTGGCCGACAAGTGCGTGACTGCAGAGGGAAAGATCCCCAAAGGCTCTCCTGGGCAGTGACAGGGAGGAGGATCCGGAGCCCCCGCCTCTGCGGGCGGCGGGGGCGCGGGCGCG